TACATAATTAGCCAACACTTTAAGATAAAACCACTAAAAGGTCCTTCAGGCTATTCTTCCTTTTTGCTCACTGTTTGCTCAGAAGTCTTCTGTGCTTTAGCCTATTGTGCTAATATTGATTTCTTCACCCACCTGCCAGCTTTCTTATTCTTGGGCATCTCAAAAATACCATAATCGGTTGTTATTCTCTCCACATGGGGGCCATCCAAAGTCCTTGGCTGCCTCTGTGGGCATCCATTGGTTAAGGATTTCTCAATGGCCCCCCCTTTCCCACTAGATTCTTGACCGTCCCCATTGTGCATTTTGAAAAGCCCCATTTACCTTGCTGCCTGGATACCGACTGCTGCAGAGCGTGTTTCTCATCAAGATCTCACATCTCTGGCTACTTGGGATATAATGCCAGCTTCAACAACCCTTTCTCCTTTACTCCTCACATTTTGGGGGCGGTATGGTAATAACTACAGATGATGTTGTGAGTTATTGATTTCAGTCAAATCTCTCAGGCTCCCTGACCATTCTCATGATTCCAATATTAAATGGAAGCAATTTAGTGTCTAAAGGCTGATGCTGACTTGCCCAAGAGTCCCGCTCCCCTCCCCGCTCCAAGCATTTCATATATTGCTTGGCAGCTACAACCCACTGGCTTTTGGTTGCTGAACTTGCATTTGTTTCATTTATGGTGTTTGTACCCATTTTAAAAAATAGCCATAATCTTATATTTTCTGGAGAACAGGAGAAATACCATTTAGACGTGCAAATGACAAGGGAGGGTACATCAGATAAATTGGTGGGTAAACTGGGTTATCCCAGTTTTATTGGTCTGGTAATTTTCTTGCTATATTTGCCATCGGAAACAGAAATCTTCTCCAGTCACAGATGGCTACTTATACTTTGGCATTTTTACATTATGCAAAGGTTATTTAGTTATAATTCCCATAAGTTAGTCTTAGATCAAAAGGTGAGAGAGTAGTTCCAAAGCCCAAACTTCTTTCTATTGGAATTTGCAGAAATAATCTCAGTACTCAGAAAGGCCAAATGTATGCTATTTTTCTTTTCATTAGTTCACTGCATCTCAAGTTTTCTTCCTACTCTCTGAGAACCTTGAGACTACAGTATTTGATTATACAAATATCTTTGGACATACATTATGTTTTATGGTTTTTAAAAATACAATTTTTAGTGTGGAAACATTTAGACATAGACAAAAGTCTGTATCACTCAGCTTCAACAATTATCATCAACTCATTAGTGAAATTTGTTTCATCTATACCTTTACCTACTCTCCCAGGCCCATAGATTAATTAATAGTGAGCAAATCCCCCGATGTATCATTTCATCTGTTAGTATTTCAAAATGAAAAACTCTTACAAAAAGCATAGCCATACTATAATCAAACCTAAAAACTTTAACAATATTTCCCTAATAGCATCAATGAACTAATCAAAATTGAAATCTTAGTTGTTTTATAATTTCTTTTCACATTTGGCTTATTTAAATCAGAATCCAAATAGGACCCATATATTATATTGTATTTGGTCGCTATGTTTCTTAAATCTCTTCTAATCCATAGTTCTCCTTATTTTATTTCTTCTTGTAATTTGTCAAAGTCCTTTAAAGTTTTCAGGGTTCAGTTTTGCTGACTGCATCCCCATACTGTCATTTTGTGTTTCTCCCTTGGCTGGATTTCCTGTATCTTGACCCATGGATATAGAGGTTTGATTCTATTCCTTCTTACTTTTTGGCAAGAAAAGTTTATGGGAATGTTATTTACCTCCATCAAGATGCCAAAATGTCTGCTTACTTTTCTGCAATGTTAAATTGTTTAGTGTGCTCAATTGTTGCCACTCTGACCCAACCATTATAAAGTTTCCCCTCAGCTGTTAATGTGCAGTTTTTAGTAGCCATTGGTGATCATGAATGAGGACCCATTATTTGATTAGATGTTTCAAAATAATATATTTTAATGGTATAATCTCTTCTTCATTTATTAGGTTTTATTAAAACATTTTTATTTTGGTAAACAAATAGGTAATTGTTGAGTACCTATGATGTGCAAGACAGTAAAAAAGGAAGACAAAAATACATATATATCATGGACCCTGTTCTAAATAGAACTAGAAGCATTATGCTCAAAACAAGTCAAGAGAAATTATGGAATAATAAAACAATTAAGAAAAGAGAGATGAGTGTGGGTTGGAGAATGCTTCATGGAAGACATGCGGCATGTGCAGGCCAAGAAGCATTTTATGAAACAGGGAGAAACTGAGAGCACTCCCGGTGAGGAAATAGTATGGACTATGCTGTGAGGCTAAGAGCAGTAAGGGAAGGGGAAGGAAAAACAAAACCTACCTAGAGATAACACATTAGCTAGGTTTGTGTGGGACATTGTTGGGGGCAATGAGAAGGCTGAACTATTACAGTTCTGATTGGAGAAATTGATGTAACCTCCTGAACTTTTTGGTATTGTTCTGAATGCATTTAGCAGGTAGACTGGGTAGTCTAGAAAATTACAGTGAAGTGGCCTATGGAAATTCAATAGTTTAGAAATTGAGTTGTCATAAGTAAAAGCTCATCTGAACTTAAATATAAGATTGCCTAAGTCAGACGTAAATGTAAAGAATTAGTCATGTTGATTGTTGTACATAATAAAAAAAATTACAAACTACAGAGATACTTGTGGTTCCACAGAACAAACAGGATGTTTAAAAGAAGAGGCAGGCCCTACCGGTTTGGCTCAGTGGACAGAGCATTGGCCTGCGTACTGAAGAGTCACGGGTTCGATTCCGGTCAAGGGCACATGCCTGGGTTGTGGGCTCACTCCCCCATAAGGGGTGTGCAGGAGGCAGCCGATTAATGATTCTCTCTCATCATTGATGTTTCTATCTCTCTCTCCCTCTCCCTTCCTCTCTGAAATCAATAAAAATATATTTAAAAAAAATAATAATAACAGAAGAGGCAAGCCCACAGGGCTTGGTGTGAAGCTGTAGCCAAGTTAAAGATGTTGAGTTTCACTTTGGAAATGTTGTATTTTGGGTGCACATACAAATAGCAAAGGCATTACATATTTGTTAGGATGGGGTTGCAGACAAAAAGACAGAGTACATTTTAGAGTCAGATACACAGAAATGATAGGTTAACTCATAGGTGAGAATGTGCACGTCAGATAATGATCATAGAGAGGCTGAAGTCAACGAGAAAGGATAGCAGTAGAGTTGCGGGTGTGAGGTGGGCTCAGGAAGCAGGAAGAAGAAAAGGGTAGTATCCATTAGTGGAGAAGCAGGGGAGACAATGTATGGCCTGTGCAGGAAAGCGTTTTAAACACGAAGAAATGGTTAGCAGGGTTAAGTACCACCAGGAGGTTTAGGAAAGGGGACTGAGGGCTGTCCTTAAGGTGTTTGTGAGGGAGATCACTAGCAGCACTTGGACATGTGATTTTGATACAGCATGCTTAAGCTAGCGTGTGGGTGACAGGAAGGAAAGGTTTGGCAGCAGGAGGTCAGGACAGAAGGCACAGGTGATCTTGTTCTAGGTATGGATTTCCAAAGAAGAATGTAAATATGATGGCCAGACTAGCAGCTGATAGGAAAACCTAAGTGTGTTTCAAAACCAAGAGTTTGATTTTTTTTTTGGTTATTTTGATATATAGGGCAAATATATTTTTAGAAAACAAACTTAGAATAGTTAAAGTGCAAAAAGAGTTTAACTATTTAGTCACTTTAATTCATCATATTTTAGGACATTTTAGTTATTCAGTTTTCATTTTAGTATTTCCATAATGAGTTATGCTTATATCAAATATGTAATGTAAGGTATTAAGTTGGGAATGCTAGTTTCCTCCTTTACTAAAAAAATTCTGCACATTTCTCCATCTCCCTCCTCTCTGCTTCCTTAGATACATGTGTCCACGGAACATGTAATGGTTTGATTTTATTTGTTAGTTTCATTGGTTTCTTGCTTACAAAGACAATACATGTTCATTGTAAAAATATCCTTTGACACAGACAGGCTTAAGGAATAAATTTTTAAAATTCCATGAAATAATGCTATTCAGAGATAGCCAATATATTATTTTGGTAAACCCCCTTCAAAATCGCTTTCTATGTGTAGATACATGTATGATATTTATTTTAATGAGATCACACTGTAAAGTGGTTTTGCACCTGCTTTTTGCACCTAACAATATGCTGTGGGCATTTTCTATGTCAGTGAATATAGATAAAAAGCATCCTTTTCAATGGCAGTCATTGAATGAAGGTACCATAATTAATTTAAGCTGTCTCCTGTTGCCAGACACTTAGGCTCTTTCCAATTTTTGTGTTTAAGCAGCACTGCAGTGAATGTTCCAATGGGTACATTTTTGTGCACTTGTCCAATTGTCTTTGAATAACTTCCTAAAAGTGGGATGTGGGTCCAAGGCTATACATATGTTATATTATGATACACATTGCCCAATAAGTGCTGTAGCAGTTTATTTCTACCATTGATACCTATCAGTACTCCAAAAGTTTTTTTAAATATCTTGAAAAATTTCTTTTATCCTCCTTTGGGCTCATTTTCCTCACTTATAAAATAAAGAAGATAAAATAATCAGTGGTTCTTAAACTTTTTAGCACCTTAGGACCATTTGAGATTTTTAAAAAATTGTTGAACAGAAGCTGGAACTGTTGCTTCAGAAAAACACACCTGTGCAAAAAGAGAGAAATTTTCATATGCTATTTATGAGAATCCAGAGATCCTTTTAAGTCAATTCATAGCGTCTTTAGGATTTCCCTCCATGAATCCAAGTGAAGAATCTCTGAATGAGGTGATTTTAAGGTTGCTTTCTCCTTTTAACACTAAAGCACACACACATACTGAACACATGTCACACTCATGTGCACACAGAATTTTAATGTGTATTTGGAAAATTTTTGACATCTGCTTGTTACAGAACCTAGTCTCATTGTGATCAGTAAAATCACATGAGTGTGAATAGTTACTGAAATGAATTTCTATTTCAGGTTCTTCAGTGGCGAGCCCACCAGGAAGAGGTAGCACGACTGGAAATGGAAATTTCTGCCAGAAGAAGGGAAAAGGAAGAGGAGAAAGAGAAACTGTGGAAGAAGAAGAAATTGTTACAAAGAGAAGAGAAGAAAGAAAAAGTATAAAATTCACTGTTGCTGTGAATGTGTGAATGAATGTTTAACTGCCTGATTGAGCTTTGATTAACCTTGGTGTTTGGCATGGAATTTTCGTAGGCAGTTCTTAGGAAGATTTTGGACATGAAGGAGAACCTACTTTATTAACCTGCATAAGCACAGATACTTGTGATTAGAAGAGATGCTGTAGGTAAAGAAAAGACAGGTTTTGTGACTGTTGTTAAGTCTTGTACTGAGCAGGGCCATGGCAATGACCAAGTGTACTGGGATAGCATTTTGGTTGACCGTAGTGCAGTCAATGACTGTCAAAAGATGTCCATGTGAGAAAGGCATTTTGAAAGATGGCAGAAAGACTTTTATCAGCTTGTAGATGAGCTATTAATATTGGGCCTGACAACAAAACAAAAACAACAACTAAACAAAGAGTAATAAAAGGAATAATTAAGCTGTAAGCCAAATTCATGGTCAACCTCTTGCAATTCTATAGGACCAAGGCATCTGTTTTATTTATTAGAGGCCGGTGCACAAATTCATGCACTGGTGGGGTCCCTTGGCCTGGTCTGCACCCTCTCGCAATCCGGGACCCCTTGGGGGATGTCAGAGAGCTGGTTTTGGCCCGATCCCCATAGCCCAGGTCGAGGGACCCCATATAAGATCTTCGGTTAATCTCTTCCCCCCCTCTTCCCTCCTCACTTCCCTCTGACATTCATCAGTCTGTTCCATGTTTCCATGCCTGTGGTTTCTACTCCTGCACTGAGCGTCTGCCCCCTGGTGGTCAGTGTGCATCATAGCTACCATCTGGTGCATAAAATTTGTGCACGGGTAGGGTCCTTAGGCCTGGCCAGCGATCAGGGCTGATCTGTGGGGCGACCAGCAAGGTGATCAGGGGACCCCCACTGGCACCCGCCTTGGCTGGCTTGGTGCCACCTGCTTGCCGGCCCCTCCCCCTGCTGCCACTGCCAGTTGCATCCCTTGGCTGGTCTGGGGCCTGTGGGCTGGGGGGCAGCTCCTGCATTGAGCATCTGCCCCCTGGTGGTCAGGGTACATCATAGCAACCAGTTGTTCCACCATCTGGTCAATTTGCATATTAGACTTTTATTATATAGGATAGAAGTACATTTAGAAAGTATTTTTTAAGCACAGAGAATGATGTAAAAAATGCATTACTATTCACCTCCTAGCCTTGAAACTGTTAATATTTTCATCCTCCAGATTATTTTTCTCTACAGATAAAGTTGAAGTCCTCTTTTGAGGATGTACTCATTCTCATTGCCCTTCTTACTTCCTCAAAGGCAATCTCAACATGAATTTTATTTCTATCTTTCTAGGCCATCTATTATTGCTTTTCACATATTTTAATATGTAGCTTGTGAATTTAAACTTTTTCATGAATACTATCATATTGGATCATTCTGCAGCATGTACTTCATTCAACCTTACATTTTTGAGATATACTTATATTAATAAACAGAGACCTAGTTCACACCTTTTAACTGCTACACAGTGTTCCATTGTAGAACTAGGCTACCACCTATCCCTTCTCTTAGTGGCTGACATTTAAGTTTCTAAAGTTTTGTTCTTGCAACCATGCTGTAGCAGCCACCGCATACATGTCCACTGGGGCATATGTGCACAGCTTTCTCTAGGGTACACTTCGGAGGGGAATTACTATGTTCTTGGATCTGTATGCTTTCCATTTCATAAGGTTTTTTATTTTTATTTTATAAGATATTATAACTTTTCTTCTTGACTTGTGCCAATCTTATAAATGTAAACAGTGTCTCATGTTTTAAATTGGACTCCCCTGATCACTTGCAAGATTGAAAATCTCCTAATATTCATTGGGCAGTTTTCTTCATCTGTGACTTGCTTATTCATACTTTTTGTCCGTTTGTCTATTTTTTTCTTTATTAATCTGTAGAAGTTCTTATAAATTCTGCATTTCTTTTCATTAGTTATATGGGTTCCAGATGTTTTCTTCCATTGGTCACTTGCCTTTAAATTTTCTCTGTGGCATCTGTAGTTTCACAGAAATTTAAAATGATCAAGTAATTGAAGTTATTAAGCTTTCCCTTTTTGAGTTGTGCGTTCCTTTAGGAACTGTGACCTGGCAGTGAGAGCATCTCTACAGAGAGCTTTTATGTTTGCCTCTGCTCAGGGCCCCATGCCTTTCATTGGCCCGGGACCAGTTGGTATATTAACTTGAGACTTGGGACCTGTGCTGGGAGCTGGAGTGGGTGCTGACTCAGCACAGATGCACAACCCCAGCCTGGGTTCTCCAGTTGACCCTTCACTTCACTTGTCACTTTCCTGGGGGATGGTCATAGTGTATCTAGTTCCCATTTTGTGTATGGATGATTCCTGCTTGACTTCTTGCTCTTTGTAAGCTTGGTTCTAGCTCCTGTGTGCACAGGTCCTACAACTAATTCATATTAAAAGTCCTGACATCATGTTCTCAGACCCATCTCAGGCCCCTGTTTCCCCAAGAGTCCCTAGGCTTTGGCTTCCTCTCACTGCTCTGATTTTGAGTTCCATTTATTTTCAGCACTGGGACATTGGTGTGTGTGTGTGTGTGTGTGTGTGTGTGTGTGTGTGTGTGTGTGTATGTAGTGTTGTGTTATAGTTTGTCCAGAATATGTGTTCAGTGTAGGAAAAGAGATTTCCATCTTAACTCAGACATACTCACCAGAGTTCTGGCTACCTTTATATACACTAACCAAAAATCCAGAATCTATTTATTTTAGCTATATTATATGTTGGTTACAAATTTTAGTGCTTCAATTTTAACACTAGCTTGGCAGAAAAACTCTCACAGGCAGTTTCACTGTCATGAGACTGGTTGTTGTGTTAGCTGGGGCTGTTTCACCTGCCTGGCTTTCTCTTTTTTTAAGAGAGCAGCAACTGAGATAGAGAAACTATGTGTAAAACCCCACTGCAGGGTTTATGAACAAGAGATATCTTTGTCCTAATTCTTCTTCCCAGTGTTTGTCTTTTATGGAATACTAATGTCTTTTTGTTGGAATAATATTGTATTTTTGTTGGAATAACATTTTGATTTGTATTCGTTGTCAAAGTTTACCCTAGTAGGTGCCCATCTCCTTTCAAAATCTACCTTTAAGTTATTAGATCACTCTTTTCTGTGTTTTAAAACTCTAGTTGAACATAATATTCACAGTTTTCATGGTTTTATTCTAGACTCCAGGAAAGTTTTGATTTATAAGCTGTTAGGAGATAATGGTAATATTTCAGAAGCCTCTCTCCACTTTTGAAATTATTGCCTTGATAAAATCAAAAGATGATGCCTTTCTATAAACTATCCCTAGGAGCTATTGTAAGAAACAAAATTACTGTGCTAGATGAACCTTAAAACACTTGATGTGTGATATTGGTCTCAGCATCACCTTTTCAGTAGACGTGGCTCTTTAGGTGGCTTGGGTAACATAAAGATTGCTCTGTATCACAGCATTTTAGGAGTTTGTTGCTGCATGATGCCCAAGTTTTATGGGATCCAAAGCAAGGGAAGTTTCAGCCTTGCTCCCAAAATGAAGATTTCAACCAAGGCTCACCTAAAAAAGAGACCTGTCCCTTCCTTTGTCAGGCATACCACAAGTCTCCCCCAAATTTAGCCAACTCCTAATTCAGCATTGAAACCCACCACATTGTATGACTGAGGGATGGCGAGCATTATCAGGAAAGTCAGAAAAACTCCACAGCCATGTGGCCTTCAGCCTTACCTCAGAGATGTTTCTGGGGGGCGGGGGGGACCTATCATTTTGTAATCTCTTAGTTTTAAGTGACATCGCACCAATAAATACCAAGAGACCCAGGCTCCAATAGAACCTTGGCACTTGGGTGCTCCCCCTTGTCTTCAGGCGACCTGGCAAATACTCAGAATTATATTCGTCCTGCAGACAGATAACCAGGGAAGAGGAGGAGTCTAAAACAAAAGAGGGCAGGCTATCATAAACAGAATGCAGTGCTGCTTCATAGAAGATTCAAGAAGCTCTGTGCTTGAATCCACAGTACCTTCCAATTCAGATCAAAATTGGAATCTCTGGGTTCTTATGAGAGCAGTTCATTATAAAATCATAAAAATCTCTTCTCCAGTATTTCTTAATCTAATAATATACTGATCTAAAAAGCTAAAAGTGGGGGAAATAGGGGGGCGAAGGTCAACACAGGAGAATGATAAAAAAACTAAATTTCCAGACTTTAAACTCTGCTTCTTTGGGATTATTGATACATAAAGGGGCCAATGAATAACGCCTGTAATAGGCGGGCTTCTAAGATGGGCCCCGAGATTTCCTGCTCCTGTGAGATGCATGCCCTGTATAACGGCCAGGGCGGTAAATGCCATGGATTAGGTTATATTGTACGACACAGACCACCTTGGGAAAGGGGGAGATTACCTGGGTGGGCTTGACCTCATCATGAGTCCTTTAAAAGCAAAGAGTTTTCTTTGGCTGCTCACAGGAGGGGTAGTCAGAGATTTGAAACACGACAAGAACATAACTCACATTTGTGGCTTAAAGACTGAGGAGATCACATGGAAGAAATGGGAGGAGGGGCTTCTAGGGGCTGAGGGTGACCATGGCTGACAGCCAGAAAGGAAGTGAGAACCTATCACCTATACTGTAATTCTATAACCATAAGGAGCTGAATTCTGCCAAAAGCAAGAATGAGCAGATTTTTCTCTAAAGCATCCAGATGAGAACTCAGTTTTGTCAACACCTTGATTTCAGCCTTGTGACATGAGCAGAGAGCCCAGCCACACTATAGTGAACTTTGACTTATAGGATTCTGAGCTAATAAATGAGTGTTGTTTTAAGCTGCTAAATATGTGGTAATTTGTTACACAGCAATTAAAAAATTCACACAGGTTTTAGTATCTACAAGTAAAATGCTGCCAAAACAAATCTAGAAACATGTGGAAGTGGCTTTGGAATTGGGGTCTGGGGAGATGCTGGAAGAATCTGAGGAGCATGGTTGAAACAAGACTAGAA